GGCAGGGTCTCCTTGTAGCCCCAGCTGTCCTGGAACTCACTATGTAGACCAGGCTGGCCTTGAACTCACAAAGATCTGCCTGCCTCTGCCTCCCAAGTGCTGGGATTGAAGGCGTATGCCACCACACCTGGCATAAAATATTTTTTTTAAAAATTTGACTTGGGATGAGAGCAGCCATACCAGAGACACTGGAATGCGTTTAGAAACTTGGATCTTTGCAACACATGATAGCCTTTTGACCTTCAGGAAAGAGAACATGACTGGGGATTGTGTTGATATGACCAGTGAGTCAATGAATTGTGTGCTTTGTAATGAGACCCTCACCAAATTCCTAAGTTCCAGAGACTGACAGAGCTTTCTGATTGGAGACATACCAATGAATTGGTAGGGTGAAGCATAGTGATTTCCCAGGAAAGGGATATCCCAGAGTGGTCAGGATTCTCCCTGTCCCTACCCTGTGTATGTCTTCATCTGGCTCATCCAGATACATTTCCAATAAGAAAACTGTAAGTATAGTGATTTCCTAAATTCTAAGTTCTAGAAAATCATGAAATCTGAGGAAATCATGAGACATCCCCCCCTCCAAAAAGTATGTACATAATTGAACAGAAGGGAAGGTGGCATGGGGCCCTTTGACTTTCGGCTAGTGTCTTCATAGGGAAGGGCTGTTCCCTTAGCCTGTGTGTGGAATATGTTCTGGTCCAGATGGTTTGCACCAGAATTAAATTGCAGTTGGTGCTGGCATATGATTCATGAGAATAACAGCAGCTCCCTGAGGCCTGTGTTTGGGAAAAGGAAAAACAAAAAGTCAGGGGATGGGGAAGTTTTCATTCTTGGATAGCCACAGGATTCCAAAGGATGGAAGAATAGTTGCGCTGTCGTAATTTACTAGCAGGATTTTGATATGGTGGATCCAATTCCTGGGAAGCTGACTTACCAACACATGAGGCAATAGACACTAGTAAGTAACAAGCAAGATATAAAAATATACAAACAGCTCAGCTGTAGTGCTATCTAGCATGCATGAAGTCTTGGGTTTGATACCCAACAACACATAAACAGGGCATTATGGCTCCTGTCTGTAATCCCAGCACTCAGGAGGTAGAGGCAGGAGCATCAGAAGTTCAGGCCCAGCCTGAAGGTCATCCTCAGCTACAGTGGGAGGCTAGCTTGGGCTATCTGAGACCCTGTCTCAGAAACTAAACTAGGGAAGGTGAGGTGGCTTGATTTGTAAAGGTGCTTACTGCCAAGCCTGACAACCTGAGTTCTATCCAGGACCCACATGGTGGAAAGAAAGAACTGACTCCTGAAAGTTGTCCTCTAACCTACACACCTCCCCCACACCCACTAATGAACAAATAAATAACTAAAACTAAAAATGTAAGACTAATACATATCCACACACATATCAGTTGTTACTTATAACAGAAAAAGTGAAAGGAAGAGATGGACCATGCTTGAGTTCTGCTCACTGGACCTGCAGCCTCTATCCCATGATGGGGGCACCAGGCATTGTGGTGTCAAAAGGCACTGGAAGTCCCATTGGAGCTACAGTTTCATGTAGAGATTATGAACATGCAAGGGCTGGTGAGGCTAAAGTTTGGATGAAAAAAGGAATATTGAAACAGGCTTTATGGGAAGTGACAGCTCCCCCAACAGAGCATTGTAAAAGCAAAACCTACTGATGTGTCTCAATGGGGACCACAGTCAGTAATGTAAGAATTGAAAGAATTAACTGGTGTGGAGGTACATGACTGGAAGACTGAGGCAGGTTTTTGAGACCAGCCTGGGTTATATAGAGTTACAGGCTAGCCTGGGCTACATACGATCTTGTCTTTTTTAAAAAACTTTTTTTTAATTTTATTTTTTATTTTACGTGTATGCATGTATTGCCTGCATGTAGGTAAGTGCACCTGTGTCGTGCAATGCCCACGAAAGACAAAAGAGGCTGTCACATCCCCTGGGACTGGAGTTACAGACAGTTGTTAGCTGCCATGTGGGTGCTGGGATTCAAACCCGGGTCTTCTGCAAGAACAACCAGTGTTCTTAACCACTGAGATACCTCTCCAGCCCCATGAGCTTGTATTAAAAAGACAAAATTAGGTTGGGTGTGGTGGCGCACGCCTTTAATTCCAGCACTCAGGAGGTAGAGGCAGGAGGATCTCTGTGAGTTCAAGGCCAAAAAAAAAAAGACAAAATTAGGGGGCTGGAGAGATGACTCAGAAGTTAACAGCACTGGCTGCTCTTGCAGAGGACCCAGGTTCAAGTCCCAGTATCCATACGGCGACTAACAACCATCCTTAACTCCAGTTCCAGGGGATCCAACATCCTCTTCTGACCTCCACAGGCTCTACATGCAGGCAATACACTCATACACATAAAATAAAATTAATAAATAAAATTTGTTTTGGTTTTTTTTTTTGTCTTTTTGAGACAGGGTCTCCCTGTAGCTCCAGCTGTCCTGGAACTCACTATGTAGACCAGGCTGGCCTTGAACTCATAGAGATCCTCCTGCCTCTGCCTCCCAAGTGCTGGGACTACAGACTACAGGTGTGTGCCACCACGCCCAGCTTTAATAAAATTTTTTTTTTAAAAAAGACATAATGAAAGTGAAAGTTTGGATGGAAATTGTTACATTTGAGCAGGTTGTGTTTATTTATGCATTTGGGGGATTGAATGTAGGGCCTCAGGCATCCTAAGCATGGGCCCTGCTACTGGGTTACAGCTCCAGCTTCTGTTCACATAGGGTTTATGTGAAGTAGTTGCATCCTTTGTACCTAAATGCAGTGTAGGATGGGTACTGCATCTGACCAAAGAGTGTTTTTGGCATTATAAATAGTATTTTAACACAGAAGGCATATAAATTCATCTTTTCTTCAGTATACACTGGAAATTCAAATGGAAATAGTAAAATCCCTGACTATACAGAGATCATTTGCCCTTTTGGTTTGTTTGGTTTTGTTCTGAGACAGGGTCTCACTATGTAGCCAAGGTTGATTCCATCATCCTGCCTCATCCTCTTGAATACAGAATTACAGGCACGTGCCACTACCCAAAGGGATTGTTTACCTTCTGTGGTGCTAAGGATGGACCTTGGAGCAGCTGCCTTTGAGCACCATCCCAGCATGATTTCTGAGACTTTGGACTAAAGAGTTTCTAGCTGGGAGGTAATTAGTAGTTTGCATATCTGATATTATTTGAAATTGCCCCTAAAACTGAAGGGCATAAAATACTGATGACTCCTGAGAGAACTCTGGTATCGTGGGCACTGTTGGAGTTGTGCAGGAACATGACCTTGGGGATAAGCTGACTCAGTATAACCAAAAGCATATGGACTTTTCCCCAGCACTGACTCTGGAACTCAGGGAACTGCTGGACTCTAGTGTCACTTGGACAGTACCCTGTGGACACTCTCAATGGACCCACAGATTATTTATTTTATGAATGGCAATTCCAAGGTGATCAAGAAGCATGCTGATTTGATTGAAGGATGAGAAAATAAATCAGTTCTGTGGGCCGAATTGCAGATTTTACCACCAAGTTTGGGTTTTAGTGACTC